CTCCGCCTCCGGAATTAGAAATACCCACCAAGTGGGGTGTGTGCATCCTAACAGATAATTAATTACGAAGCACAGGAGGGAATATGCAAACTGGATATTACAAATTCTACAGGGCTTAAGTGATTGGAAACAGATTATTATCTTGTTTGTCTTTTGTCTGTCTTACTTATCCCTCAGCCGTCTGTTCCGTGGTAATGTGGATACACTTTACTCTGGGAAGGAGGTTTTTATATAGTAAATTCCATCAACATCTTGTATAAGTGACACTGCGTCTCCATGCATTACCCTGTTAAGACACAATCGGTTTATTAGTTACATATAGAAGGGTATTTGCTGCCTGGAAAACCATCTGTTAGCGTAGCGAGGGCGGGCGTGGGGGGAGAGCGGGGAAGAACGAACGGGGTGCCTAATAGCGGGGCTGCCTTCATGGGTGCAGTGGGGCTCCGCAGGTTGGAGGAAAGAGGGGGCCCGGCTACCTCCTTCCGGGCGCCTCCAGGAGGGCAGCCCGCCAGTTAGCAAGCCGACCCGCTTTCTCTGCTCGGTCCTGAGCCGAATGGCTCGCTATTGTGCCGCTCCTCTCAGGTGAGGGGGATCCAGTCTCTTGAATGCTGCAACTGCCCAGGCCCAGGGCCCCAGCCCCTGCCGGGTGCCATGCAGTGGTCGCGAGGCTAGAGACAGAGAATATTTGGGAAGCCAGGCTGCTCGGGATTCTGGGGAAGGCAGAATCCTGAAACCGACCCCGAAACGGACATTCACAGAGATGTGTTCTTTTTTAAAGCTCGGGAGAGACACCCCGCCTCTTGCGCAAGTGACCCTCGCACCTCACAATAAGAGAGGGACCGAACCTCCAAACTATCTGGCTCCCAGAGACTCCAGGAGATGAACCTTCCGGAGAGAAAGATCCGCTCTCGGATGGCGCTGGACCCCTACTCAGGCTGCTACTGCTGCTCTTCTCTGTTACCTACCTACTCCTCAGAGGAGCTAGGCTAGTCGGTATTATATCATATTATATTATAGGATGTCATATACCAAATCATATGATATCAAATTATAGCCTATCACATTATCTCAGGAGAAAAGCGAGAAAACTGGGAAAGGCTGTTTTGTTTTTGTAGTGTTTTGAAGGATGTTAGGCGGCTTCTGAAATCTCTGGACGAAACGAAATTTCTGTTTCCTATTGAGTCCACGTTAGGAAGCATTTAGCAAGAGCTCTGCTCTAGGATGGATGTTCACTGTTAAATTCCATACAGAGAAGGGAGGGGGATGGAGAGAGAGAGAGAGAGAGAGAATTTCCATCGGATGAGAAATCTTGCTCCTTTTTTCCTAACTCGTCCTTTCCATCTCCCTTCGCTCCTCCACTTCCGCAGGCCCCGACTTCGCTGACGGAAGAAAGAGCTCTCCCTTCTCCAAGCCCCATTTCCCCAGTGAAAAATTTGGGGGAAAGGCCTTAAGCAGAGCGAGAGGGTGGGCGGGGAAAAGATTCGGGTCTCTTTAAGAAACAAGCTTTTGTTGGGGGCAGGTTTTCCCCCTCTTTTTTGTTTTCTCCACCTGGGCCATGGGTCCCTGGAGGGGAGATGTGGGGGCCTCAGGGAATTGGAGCCTGCGAGTTCCTGCTGAGATGGGCAGGAATTGTTGTAGCAACCTCTAACCCCCTTCCACCCTTCAGTCCACAGTTTGGTCTCAATAAGATCCAGTGGCCCCAGGCCGGCTAGGGTGTGGACACAAGCAGGGTGCTCTTCCCGGCCTAACACTGGCCTGGGAGCTGTGTGGCCACGAGATGCCTGGAGGTCTCCAAGCAACTAAACAAAGTGGCCCGAGCAGCTTGGAGCTGAGGACCCAGAAAAGGGCGGGCATAGGTTTCCCCATTTCCCATCACTCCTTTCCACGCTACTGGCTTTCCTCCCAGGAACACAGCCAGCCTTTGTAACCTCCCCTTAGACTATGTGGGCAGAGGACTTCCCGGCTTCCCGGGGTTGTTACAGCCTCGCTCCTCACTAGCTTTCTGCGCAGGGTTCTCAGCCTTCATGATCGTAGCTTCATCGTACCGCTCACTGGATTAACAAGCTGAGGGCTCAGAGAGTGTGCCAAGGACTGCCCTGGATTACTGATGCCCGCCGTGTGCTAGGACAGATCCAGAAGCTAAGACAGAGCGGCAAGTAGGAGCCAGGGTGAGGGATGTCTGCTCGGGCACAGAAACCCAGGGGCACTCGTTGGCTTATTCTCAGGAAAGAACTGAGGACTTTTTAAAACTCAGTTCCACAGCTGGCTGGGTCCCAGGGAGTGATGCTTAGGACCGAAATCAAGTTGTACTCAAATTTGGGGTCGCTGCTAGATGTGGCCTGCTCCGTTCTCTCCAGCTTGGAGGGCGCTATTGTCGGGGGAGGTGTGCGCATACGCTGGTTTCGTTTTATCCGGGGAGCGCCACCTCTCCAGACAACCCCGGATAGAAGGTTTGCCTGAACCTGGAGGAGTAGAAGGGATTCCCGCCTCTTTCAGACTACTGCCCTCTCTGAAAAAAGTCTAGGCAGAGTTAGACCTTAGGGACTCAGACAAATGAGGGGGAAGGTTTTTGGACCCCATTGACCCGGGTTCCATAGCATCTGGGCAAACATCTATACCCCCAAATTCTGTCTCTCTCACCCCTTTCCCGGTTGGTGCGACATTCCCAGCGGTCTCCGCGGGTCCCATTTTGATACAGCATCTCACTCAAACTGGGGAAGAGATAGCGTCGGAACCAGCGTTCTCCATAACATAGAGAACTGAGGGAGACGATGAGAGCAGACCGGTGGGAAGGAGAACAGGAGAATCTACCAACGAATTCCCCCGTCCCCGTTCTCCACCCAACCCGACCAGTGTTCAAAAGAAAGAAGACTAGAGGAGGGACATCTTTATGCAACATTGGCCCCCTTCTCCCGGGCGGGGCTGGGAGCTCCATCCACAGGGAGAGAGAAAACTTTGGTACCTGGCTCGTTTTCCTCTGATTCTGCTGCGGTTTCCCAGGCCCGAATTAGGCTGAGGTTAACAGAAGGGGAGCGAGGAAAGCCTGCTGAACTAATAGTTGCCAAGGCCCAAAGTGCCCTGCTGAGAGGACGAGCTCACGCCACGATTTGGGGCACCCTAAAAAAAGCGGCTAGCACCGCGGAGCCGCTATAAGCATTCCCTGACCTGGCAGTCTCCTCATGCAGCGCAACGGTAGATGAAATACAGCGTTCTCTACTTAGGGCCCTCACTAGACCTCGGCTCCTCTGAAAGAGCCCATCCCGCACGTACAACCAATACGGAGCGTGCGTGTGTAAAAAGGACCCATGTCTGTATACAAGAGGGGCAGACGTGTGCGTGCGCTCGTGTGTGAGGGCACCAGGGGGCCGCAAGAATGGCGATGGTGAAAATTCGATGCCAATGTTGGTAAGCGGCCAGGCCCCAGGTTACGGGCAGAACGAGGCTGGCTGGTGCGGCCCGGGCCCAGGCCGCTTGGGGCCCTCGAGCGCAATCTCGCCACTAGAAACCACCTTTCCCCTAGCTCTCCAAAGCCACCGCCGCGGCCCGCTAAGTGACTCAAGTAACCAAGAGAGAGGGACTTTCCGAACCTGCAACGAAGGAGACAAAGAATAGCTATCCACTCGCAACCCCCAGCTCACTTTCTGTGACCGGCACTGGCTATCACACGACCTCCCGTACCCCTATCCCCGGCCCGGCTATTCCGGGGAAGTGTAAAGGAGGCCCAGCGGACCCTAGGCTCTCTTCCGGTAATCGGAAGTGAGGACCTTGCCTCTCCCACCACCCACCACAGCCGGGCCCAGGGCAGCCTGTCTAACTAAAGTCGGGCTTTTAAAGCTTCCTGGGGTCAACATGGACTGGCCATGAGCTAAAACTGGGCCCCCCAACTCCCTAGCCCAACCCCTCAGTTCACTCGCCTTCCTGTCCGCCAGGGCCGAGAGCCGGAGGCTCTTCTCAGTGGGACTTGGGGGAGGGGACCCGGGTAGGAGGTGAAGGGGGTGGGGCGTGCACTGGCCCCCTCTAGGTTTGGATTCACTTTCCAGGCAACGCTACCTCTGCAACTTGGGCCGCCCCTAGTCTGCAGAAGGGAAGAGAGACGGGTGGGGTGGGGGAGACCACGCCCAGGCTCCTGGCTCCTACTCCTTCTCAGTCGGGCCCTGGTCCCCCCAGCCTGTGACCTGCCTGCCCTCAGGCACTTCTGGGCAGAGAGAGCGAGAGCGAGCAAAGGAGGCAAACCCCCAGCAAGCCGAGGAGGCAGGCGCGTGGACCTCCGGAGTCGCCCCGCCGCCTCCGCCCCCTCCCCCAAAACGAGAAGGTAAATACTTACTTAGCCCCAGCACCAGGTACAATCTAATACTCAACAATACTGACGCCTTGTTTTTTTGCTCTGTCCGGACCACAATGCTGTAGCCAATTTAGATATGCTATAAATTTAAGAGGTTGCCATAGCCACGGCGAGCTCATTGGCCGCTGGGCGCGCTACGTGCGTCTCCACGTCACCAAATCTGAATAAGGATGCGCGAATTAGTCAGCGGCCAGACAAAGATGAGGATGCGGACGGCATGAAAGTGGAGAAAAGTAGCAGACACTCCGGCACCCGGGGAAACAGCTCGCGAGGTGGGGAGAGAGCCGCCGCCGCTGCCACCGCTGCTGCGCACGGGGGGGACGCTTAGAGATACGGGAAGCGCGGGGCCCAGGTCTAGGGAATGAGGCTGTGAAACGCCACCACCGTCCCCCCTCTCCCAGCCACCAAGAGCTTACTGCCCCCCCCCCCCCCCCCCCCCCCCCCCCGCTTGAGGATTGACCCCCCGGCGTCTTGGCCGCCCCCCCCACCGGCCCGGGGTAGCGGTGCCCGGGACTCGCGGCCGCCCGGTAGCGGCGGGCGCATCGGGCCGGGCCGGGCCGGGGCACACACGCTCTTGGAGCGAGAACCGCAAACGCCTGGATTCCCGGGCCGAGAGGGCAGCGGGGGGGAGCGGCTGGCTTTCCCTGGCCCTAGGGTCATGATGGTGCATTGTGCCGGCTGCGAGCGGCCCATCCTGGACCGGTTTCTGCTCAACGTCCTGGACCGCGCGTGGCACATCAAGTGTGTTCAGTGTTGCGAGTGCAAATGTAACCTCACCGAGAAGTGTTTCTCGCGGGAAGGGAAACTCTACTGCAAGAACGACTTCTTCAGGTGAGTGGCTCCCACGCCGTCTCCCCGCCCTGGCCTCCTCTTCTTCCCCTCCTCTTGTCTCCGCTCTCCTTCCCCAGCCAAAGAACTGAGAGAAGTCGTATAGAGAGCGTTCTGGAGAAGCTGAGGCGAACGGGGGCGGACGGCCAGGGGCCTGGCTTAGGGACTTTTATGTCTACACACACACACACACACACACACACACACACACACACACACACACA